TGACATTTGACTTGCGTTATCGCATTCATCCACAGAATATTTTCCTACAGTGGGTTATTTCATGATTTAATCTGTAGCTCTTCATCGTCTGTAGCTCTTTATCCTCTGGCGACTATGAAATCAGTCGTTCTCGGATAGGTTTTTAAGTGAGAGTGCCCAGGACATGTAAGTGATCATACTCCCATATAAATGTGCTTCTAGTCGATTTGTTCGCTCGGTGTTAATTTTCTTGTTGAGCATTGCAGTATTTTGTGGTTGTCGCCTTGACGAAAATCCCCATCTGATATTTATCATCGGTTTTATAATGGTGGCAGCGCCATTTTTAATGTGGATGTTATGCACAGTTTGCGCTCTGCACAGTATCGTATTGTGGCGGTGAGAAACGCTCCAACGCTCCGTCGAGCTTCTGATGCATGGCAGCCATCGTCTCGAAATTATCCACTCCTCCGCCATTCGACTCCCTGGCTTCGGTTTACATATATTTCCACCTGATGACATTAAGATGATAATAAACGGGGTAATAAACTGAACGCCACCAACGATATCATTTCCATAATGGTTAATTGCTTTCTCGCATTATTGCTTTCCTTGCAGACTAATTCTTTGAGCCGAGACATATTTCAGATGGTGACGGGGTTTCACTCTCGCACAGTGTTGTTGCAGATTTCGTACGAAAGTTTATTTTAGCTGTTCTGGTCTTTGCCTTCGTGAGCAAGCAAAGACCAGAACAACAGAAGCAAGAAAGTACTTGGATGAATGTACAAACCGCAAATAGTTTATAATAACAGAACAACAGAATATTTAAAATTTCCGCCATTAACGAACGCTGTTAAATAACATTTGAATGAATCTCAAATTAAACAGATGCATTTGTTTACATTTTTAAATGGGAGCAACATTGATTCACAGTTTGTATAAAAGTAGGTACTCAGGAGGCTGCTTTGCCGGCTCAATATTCAATTTGCTATATATGTGTAGCATCAACACGAAAATATGAAGAAA